TCCGGAGTTTTTAGTGCTCGAGGGATCCATCATCATTAATTTCTTTGTTTTGGTAGATAACCGACTGCATAGCTTAGGTGTGGAAACATGCGGACATTTATAAAACACCCTGGGAAAAGCTAGCGGGTGGTACTGCCTCGGTCGACTGGTCCTTGTCTACCACCTTCTTTTTACGTGCTAGTGATGTTAAATAGACCTAAAGTGGCCCGTTGGCGGACTTGTACCGCCACCCGGCAATCGGTACTGAGGTATTCCTTAACGCGTGCACAATCACTTGGACGGGAAGAAGTTGTATACTGGATACAACGACTTCCGGAACAAGCATTTGCCACGGCACTCGCTCAGTAGGGGGTTAGTACCTCAGTACCGATTGGTGGGTGGCGGTACGAGTCTGCAAACCGGCCACTTTAGGTCTGTTTGACATCAATGACACGCAAAAGGAAGGTGGTAGACAAGGACCGGTCGACCGAGGTGATACCACCCGCTAGCTTTTTCCAAGGTGTCTTAAGATTCTCCCTCCTAAGCTACGCAGTCGGTTATTTTCCCCAAAAAATAAATTAGTGATGATGGATCCCTCGTGTACTCAGAATTCCTGACGTTAACTCACTTCACTCTCGGTATCTCCTGGTGTAGGGTGGACTCAAGGGAACAACATCGATGATAAAATTTGTTTCACGTACATCTACAACATTGACGCTGTTCATCACTCCCCGCAGTCCAATCGTCTCGCCATGTTTTTCTTGGTGGAGACAAGAGTGTCAGTGTTTGCACCGATCATCTTGGCTCCCCAAATTACGAGGTGCACTCCAATATGAGAAAGAACGGGGTAGCTGTGGCTCCGCAGCAGTCCTTCATGCTCCAAGGACCTTTCTTTGAAATCAGGTCGGAAGGACATTCTGTGGCTCACCCTCAACTGCGCAGAACATCCCCCAAGTTTATTCTCTGCCTTTTCGATGCCCCTTGGATCACCAATGGGATGACCTTGAATACCTCTCTGTCAAGATCGACTTGCTAAACGTAAATTACTCCGCTGAAGAGGTAGTACTTAACTGGTGATTTCACTGCCGATAATGAGCTTTGGTTGGACTGATGCAGCAGGTCTTGCAGTTGAAGCGTTCACTGTTACCAAAGGCTGGTGACGAGACCTACTTTCTTCTCCCGCCAGTATTATAGATTTCGGTAGACCGTTTACTCTGAATATAGTTTCTTGGTATTCTTTTAGGGAGGCCTTTTTGAAAATCATTGCATATTCTAATTACAATTGCGACAATTTCTCTTTTGTTACACAACACGAATGTTGTTAGAGAGAATATGAGACTTGTGAGCAGATTCGTTGTACTTTGAACATAAACAGATTAATCTGGCTGAAACTAGAACAACAAGAGCTTTCACTTATTAATAATAATAATAATAATAATATTTATTTACTCTAAAATACAGGGAACATGAAACGAGTAAATAAATATAATATATCCATAGGAGGACAACGCCTGTGCATGGATCATATGTGTGTTGAATTGCAAAATATAATAAAATAAAAAAAAAAAGAAATTATTGGTAAGAATGGTAGAGCATTTATTGTGTAATATTTGAGATTATTTGATTAATTTGATTTCTCCCAATCGTGTTAATAAATTTTTTTAATTTTTTTTTTTGAAGTCTAATGTATTGCGTAATTGTTTTAAATTATTTGGTAAATGTTCGTACAATTTTGGAGCTATATACAGGTGACATCGTTTCATTAGGGATTTGTTTGGTTTAGGAACATTTTTTGCGCGTAATTTATATCTGGTTTTATGATTATGTTTAATTATGTCGTGTTCACTAATAGTTTTGTGATAATGAGTGATGGTATGTAAGAAGTAAAGTTGTTTAGTATCATATACTTGTGCATCATTATATAAGTCATTAGTTGGGTATAATTTTGATTTGCCTAACATTGATTTTAAAATTCTTCTTTGAAGTACATCTAAATCGTTAAAGTATGTCGTGCATGCAACACCCCACACTACTATACCATATGTTATGTGTGGCTCGACTAAAGCTTGATATATTATTCGTAGATAATATTCAGTTAATATACCGGTTAGAAATTTTATTTTATATGCTATGAATCTAATTTTCTTTAGTATGTGAGAAATATATACATCCCATCTCAAGTGGGGATCTAGATAAATTCCTAAATATTTTGTATCATTAAGTTTATTGATTTTTATATTTTTATCATTTACCTTAAACCGAAGGTGGTTATATTTTGGTAGATGATTAGATAGTGATGAAAATGGTAAAAAATGGGTTTTGGTAAAGTTAATTGTTAATTTTCGGTTATTAAACCACTGAATAATTTTGCAAAAGTCATTTTGGATAATATCTTTTAAGTCGTTCCAATCCTTACCTTTATAGAGTATAGCAGTATCGTCTGCAAAACTGACTATTTTACCAGTACTGTTAATTTTGAATATATCGTTTAAATAAATATTGAATAACAGAGGACCTAAAATTGTACCTTGTGGAACACCACATTTAACAAACATTTCTTTACTATATGAGCTTAATAATTTTATTGATTGCGGTCTATTTGATAAATAATTTTCCATTAAAGTATACATCTTTCCACGAAAACCTATTCTTTCTAAGATTTCCAAAAGTATATTGTGGTTAACTGTGTCAAACGCTATTTGTAAGTCCACAAATACGCATATCGATGGTACTTTTCCATCTATATGTTGGGTTATTTCATCTACTATACTTAATACCCCATCTGTTGTAGATTTGCCCGCTATAAAACCATGTTGATTTGAATTTAGAATTTTGAATTTATTAAGAAAATAAGTCATTTTATTAAGGAGTAATTTCTCAAAAACTTTAGCTAAACTTGATATAAGTGAAATAGGTCGATAGTTAGTGACGTCCGTATTATCATTAGATTTATAGATAGGTATGATGATTGCTGTCTTGAAAGCTGATGGAAATACTCCAGATTGGAAAGATTTGTTAATGATATAAGCAAGTGGTTCTGTTATTTGTTTGGCCAGTATCTTTAGATGTTCAGCTCTAATTTCGTCAACTCCAGGGCTTTTTTTATTTTTTAGAGTCATAATGGCATTGAAAACATCCTGATAGTCTACTTCAGTTAATACAAATGAATTATTCAGTCTTGTTTCATGCAGATGAATATCAGCATTTTGTTTGATATTATTTGCTAAGTTTCCTCCTATATTCGTGAAAAATTCTATGAACTGATCACATATTTGCTGAATATTGTCTGTTTTCTGTCCTGTTTTTGTTTTTATTTCATTAATATTGTTTTTTGAATAGGATGACTTATTGAATATATCATTGACAGTGGACCATAGGTGTCTAGAGTCATGTGAATTATTATTCAATTGTTTTATATAGTAGTTTTTCTTTGCTTTTCTCAAAAGTTCTATAAATTTGTTTTTATACTGATTATAATGATCTATAATTTCTTTCGTGGGTAAATATTTCATGATTTTATACAGTCTTTCTTTTTCGTTTGCAGATTTTATTAGTCCTTTGGTCATCCAATCATTTCTGCTTTTTTCCTTGTGACTTATTTTAACCTTATTAGTACTAACTTCAATTACTTTTTGAATTTTGTGTATTAATAAATTTGTAGCTTCGTCTAAAGAATTTGTTAAAAAAATTTCGTCCCACGATTCCGTTTGTGCGTTAAATATTAATTTTGAGTTGTCAGTGAAATATTTGTATCCAAGGTTTCTTTCATTTTTTGCCCTTGGGCAGTTCTGGTTTTTATTTTGTGAAGATATTAATAATACAGTGGAATAATGATCTGTAATATCGGTTTCATAGATAATAGGCATGTAAGAAAAAATATTTGAAATATCCTTTATAAAGCAGTGATCAATGCAGGTTTTACTGGTGGGTCGTGTTACTTTATTTATGTATGATAAAAAACCATTACTTGCTAAAATGTTTAAATATTCTTTCACCATAGAATTTTCCTCTAAAATGTTTATATTGATGTCGCCTATAAATATTTGATTATGAAGGTGATTGTTTTCATTGTTTTTTAATAGTTCATCTATGTCTCTTATAAATGTATGAGGATCTGAAGATGGTGGTCGGTAAACACAAGTAATTTTAACTCTACGATTTTCTATTTGCATTGTTAGATTGATACCTTTTAGTTCATTGTTGATTGTAAATATGGTATGGTTATAAGGCAGATTGTTTCGTACATACACCATCACTCCATCGTTTTGATTATGGTTACCAAAATTATACAATGTATCGTACCCTTCTAAATGAAACAGAGTCACATCGCCCACTTGCCATGTTTCGGATAGAATGATTATATCTATATCACTTTGTATTCTTTTCAAAATTAATTTAAAGTAGTCAAAGTTATGTTTTATACTTCTGATGTTCATATGATAAATTCTAACAGATATTTCAGGATTTTGTAAAAAAGAATCTAGCTCGCTAGTATCATGAGCAGTATTAGTACTAATACGTTGAATTTGGAAGTTATTTACATAGTCGTGTGTCATAAATGATGCAATATTCTAAAATTTTGGCTAAAATTTCTTCTTTCTTAAAAAAGGATTTTCAAGTTGTACTGCTGTTGATAATTGATAATTCTGACTCATCGCGATATTTCCCATCACACATTCATCCTGCTTGGCTTCTTCCATCAGACCCAATAAAAAAAACTTCACCTTAAATTCAAATATTCCAAAAACTGCCAAAATCCGAGGCCCTTTTGGAAACGTCAAAATATTAAAAAATTCGCTAATGTTCAATTATTTGTCATCTTGAGCACAATAAAAAAATGACAGAGGGATTTGGTTTTGAAGTTTGGTGAGGCTGAAGTTTTGTCTGTGATATTTTCTTCTACCTAGTAACTAAATATCACTACAGAAATCTCAGGACGTGCTCTGAAAGAATGTTTAGTTAGGATCGAGCATTGTTCAACAATATTGCGCTATTTAGTTACCAAATGGTTACTTTTCCAGGAAACACCATTAAACAAAAGTACAAAAAGCTATTTGGACGACAAAAATGTAGCAGCAACCAAGATACAAGCCCACGTTCGAGGACACTTGGCGAGGACGGGAATCGCTCAAGAAAAACAAAGTTCAAAAGATGCTCAAGAATACAGGCCAACAAGCATTGATTCGACTGACTCAGCTGACACCATAATATATCAAAAACTCTTGGATGAGGATGATGACTATGATTCTTTAAATTACGATGCGGCCATTGATCATGCTGTTCATGTGCCACTGCTCCAGGATGAAGGTTCTATTACTGAATACCAAAATAAACTGTTCGCACAAATATCAGGCAAATCAGAAGAACCATCTCATAGAAAGCGTTATACTGGGGTTTTGGAAGACAGCAATCAGTCTGAGGTATGTAAATTAGATTAGCCTGATTACTATTATTTGTCAAAGAACCTCCAACGGAGGAAATTATCAGCAATACGCATTTTTCTCATAATGCTTTTACGATTTACGGTGTATGATTGTTGCTATTGTTCCCCAGATCACCCGTACTGGTATATTCTATTGCCTTTGGCCCAATTTTCCTTTAAGCTTTGTTGATGCTAACACACGTCCTTACTTGTATATTACAGGAAACCTCTACAGAGGGAAAAGAACGGTCAGCTATTAAAGCTGTTGCAACAGGCAATAGCATTAGAGACACTACAGTTGACACTAAGGAAACAGATGTTGTTAAAGCTATTAAGGTGGAAGCTGGGACTAGACCACAAACTAGGAGAGGGCCTGCGAAAGACGTTGAAAATGGAAATAGTTCTATGAAAGCGATAGCAAGTGTTACAGAGGATACAAGTATCCAACATGTTGAACAAACAAATGATTATATTACTGAAGAGACTAAAGACAAGCCAACGGTAGGTCAAGTCGCTCAGAAACCTGACAGTGTTAAGGATATTGAAGTTGAGGAACCAAGAGTACACTCCAGACAAAGCTACGTAACAACAGACAGAATATCTGACATGATACCACAAGATCTTGAGGTGGGGGGGAGGAGTACATTGGAGCTATCGAAAGAAGAAAGTCAAGCTTCTGGGAAACTGGACCCAAAAGAGAACGAGAAACCAGATGATGCAAGGAGCTCGGAAGTTCAACACTCTGGCAGTGCAACAGAAAAGGTACATCTACAGCATTCTAGCGAGATGCACGATGCAATTTTTCTGCCACCGGTTCCAGAAGAAAGTGTTTCTCATAGTAATGATACTAAAGACGATTCCAAAGGTACTGAATCAGGAAATGAGAAGCTCCTAGAGGGCAGCAAGGCCGAAGATGGTTTAAGGCATAGCAGTGAATATCATGATGTTATTATAATTCCGTTTAAGCCAGACACTAACCACAGAGATGCGAGGTCAGAAACAACAGAAGAAGCAGTAACTAAGAGTAAAGGCGAAGACCACGCAACTTCAGAAAATAAACTCTCATCTGAGGTAGGTTAAGAACGTACGAATAAATAGTTGTGGTAGCAACATCATCTAAGTAAAATTGGCTGTGAGGTTGGAAGTACCAGTTCTTATAAAATGGTCTCCAATCTAACAAGTTGTGGATCATGTGCCTGCAGCTTGTCAGTATGGAGATATGAGGAAGCATCTCCAGACATTTCTGTTAGGTATAGGAACTCATCGTAGGGCTAAGCATGGATGCTTTTGCCTATCCTTGAATAGAGCCAACCTAACACGTTGAGGCCCACCTGCTTGTGATGGTGGTGGCTGAGGATCCCCCGTGTGAGCGCTCCGGGGTAGAAGAAGAGACCTCGGCGCAGGTTCTGTGTCGCTGAGAGGCTGTGAGCTACTACAGGCAGATTATACTGAGCTCCATCACTTTGGACCCCCAGAACGTATGGAGCTGGGACTCAAGGCCATACTTAACTTTGGTATAAGGGTGAGGGAGTGTAGGATTGCATAGGATCCTGTCTAAGTGGACTGTGCGTCGGCTCCTCGTAGTAGTCGGTATGCCTCTAATTTCATAGTTCAATCATTCATGGGGACATTGACACTTGTCCTGTAACATATGGAGAGACTGCATTTATTTCAACAGACATTAGACATTATTTAGAAAACGTTTTGACTCTAAGTAGCTATGCTTCCACTCCAACTTTCTGTACGGTATGTCAGCTCATGACGCACAGCATGTTGCGGAACAAATTCGTTGTAACGGAGATATAACCTCAAATCGACTCACATTTTGTATTGCATTTCAGAAGGACAGCAGAAGTAGTCCCATTGGTCTTCGGCATAGCAGTGAGCTACATGATGTTGTTGTCTTATCTGAATTGCCCTATATGAAAGCTGGTTCCAGAGAATGAGAATAACTGTTAGGAACTTAATAGGTGTGAGGTATACATAACTTACGCAGCTGAGGAGAATAAGTAAAAATAGGTACCTGTAGAAATTTGAGAAACTATTTACACACTCGATTAGTTTTAGTATTGTTAAAAAAACACGAACTCAAAGTTTGGACTATTGAAATGCCTTAGTGTCGTGATGTGCTAAAGTGCAACATCACCTCAGAACACCATGCTGTTTTTGAGTTGATTCAAATGGTACTTTGTTCAAAACAAGCATAGGGTGACGTCACGTCAACATAACGTATGAAGCATTAGAAGCAAGTCCTTTTATATGATGTTTTTAGTTTTCCATCGTTAGCCTTTAAAATATACTAAGTGACATATAAATCCGAACACCCAGTTTAAATGGTTTTATTTCAATAAAATTTTGTATGAGTACTTAATGAAGCATAATAAGTAAATGATAAAAATTTCAAAATGATTGCACTGCTTTAAAGCCCTTTGACCTTTAATAATGTGTGGATACACCCTGATGTGCTACGCATTCTCCAACGTGCCTAGGCATGCTTCTGATCAGGTGGTCAATGTCCTCCTGTGGTATTTCATTCCAGGCAACCACCAACTCCTCTCGAAGTGCTTCTAGAGTCTGAGGAGGACGTTGCAAATTGAGCAATCTCCTACCCATCATATCCCACACGTGCTCAATTGGGGATAAGTCGAGAGATCTTGGTCATGGTAACAATGTGACATCATTATGTTGAAAGAAGTCTATTGTGACTCTTGCAACATGTGGTCGGGCATTATCTTGTTGGAAAGTTGGATCTGCCAGGGTGTCAAGATAGGGTAAACGATGGGGTTCTAGAACTTCGTGGATATAACGCTGCGCGTTCATGTTACCTCTGATGAAGATTAATGGTGACTTGGAACCATAAGCTATAGCACCCCAAACCATAACTCCAACAGTGTGATGAACATGTCTTTCAACAAAAAACTGTGGATTCCTCCTTTCACCACGTCGCCTTCTAACCCTGGCACGACCATCGTGCATGCCTAAACAAAATCGAGACTCGTCACTAAAGATAATACTGTTCCATTCCTGATCCCAGAGTGACCGTTGTCTGCACCACTCAAGGCGATTACGTCGGTGTTCTCGAGTTAAAGGGAGGACCCAGTGTGGCCGGTATGAAAACAAGCCAAAACTTCTCATTCGTCGGTAAACACTTCGCATGCCAATAGGTCTCCCGTGTTCTGCAAACCATTGATTTGCAATGGACCTGGTAGTGGAGAAACGGTCCCTTAAGGCCAATGATCTTAGGCGGCGATCTTCACCGTCTGTTGTTCTACGGCGGCGTCTAGTGCCCCTTGCTCTTTGCGTACGGCCTTCTCGAAGCCATGCCTGACAACACCTAACCACAGTGTCTACATTTCTTTGCACTCTAACTGCAATTGCCCGAAAAGAAAGTCCAGCTTCCCGAAGTCCCACTATACGGCCCCTATCAAACTCACTAAGTTGACGAAATCGTACAGGTCTCCGTACTCTAGGCATCGTAACCGATGGTAAAGGATGTCAAGAACCAAAATCCGCCAACGTTGATTCTTAAATATTCATTTTTAGAGGGTTAGTGAATTAAAAAAAAAGCAGCATAAAAACCGGAATGTCCAACTGATAAGGCTGAAAATTTTTTCACTTGTTATTTATAGTAAGATAAATACATTCACCAACTTTTATTAAAATAAAACCATTTAAACTGGGTGTTCGGATTTATATGTCACTTAGTATAAGTAAACAGATATCACCGAAAAGGTATTTTTGTTAATGGTCGAAATGAAAAAATGAAAAAAACTGAGAATGTCCGTGTCATGTCGGTAAAGAAGAAGGATTGTCCAAAATGGCAGTTGTAATTTTGAGATTAGAATTTATATAAAGTTTGCGGTATAACAAATTGAGGTTGAATATGATTTCTAATTCAGATAATGATGAAAATAATCAGAGTATTATTAACAAATCAACAAAGGAAAGAAAGAAAACTGAAAGAACCGAAGATGTGATGGAAAAGTTGCCAATTTCTTCAAATGAACAAGGGGCTTCGTGTAATTGTTCAGCGAATATTATTAAATATTTCAATTCATTGGGTAGAGTCAGTGAGCAGAACTGATATTTTTCGGGGCTTATAAATGTTTATAATGTGAAAAGGTAGTTTAAATATGATATTAATTTTCATACAGCTCCATATAGCTACAAAGTAAGGGTAAAAGATGAAAATATCAGCAATAATATTATAAAAGATGTGCTTGTATGTTTAGCATTCATTGCACTTCATGGAATTATCAAAGAAAACGTTGAATATTTACAAAAGAGCATCGAGGCAACAAAGAAAGCTTCAGTAGATCAAAGAGAAAAGCACGAAAATCGTAAAAAAATTGCATCAGAGATTAATTAAAAAGATTTCAATCATATAGTCCAAAAACTAAGGATTTTGATAACTGAACTGGACATTCCTCGTTTTTTACTTGCTTCAAAAAGTTTCATTTGATTTTTGTTCAATTTAAATATGTTTAATAATTAATAGGTCCAATGTTAACAAAAAAATTATATTAGACATAAAACATTTAATTAGTTATAAATAAAAGATACTTTATACGTTAATCCCAATAAAAATAATATAGTTTCAAACCTTCAATTGCATTTGTCTCAAAATATCAGGACATTCCCTGTTATTTCCCTTCAATGTATGCTCCTAAACCTATCCATGCGTCTTCTGATACAAGTTGCGTTTGTTTTGCAAGTCCCAACAGAGATGAGGTTGTCGAACGAGTAAATATCCTGCTTACTTCAGAGTTCAAACTATCTGGTGAGCTAACTTTGATTAGATCATATCCTGAACATTCACCGATCGCTTTTTTTAAATATAGGGCCTCGTGATTGAATGTTTAAATCCGCTGCAAAGACTTGTGATCAAAATTTGAGTTTGGTGAATTTTGAACATAATTTTTAACTTCAAAGCTGCTAGTGAGAACAAACATGTTTCAGCCGAGGTTGGGCTATTCGGAACGCATTTGTGAGAAAGAAAACAAAATCTTTTTCAAAAAGACCATGCAATAAACTGAGCAAACCGATGTTAGGTGTGCGTATCTGAGATTACATGTAAAACAAATGCAACTATAATTACGTTCTGTATCGACTCATAAGGCTCATAGTATTGTTAAGTGTGGTCTTAATTTTATGTATCAAGGTGTAGTCTGTTTATTACATGCGTGAATATTAAAACTTGTTCAATGTGTAGAGGCCTGTTGTAACCTTCTTATCCATATCCGAAAAAACTATAACTTGGTCACTGGGATTCCAGATAAGTAAGACGTTATTGTTTAGAGGGTCCACTAGAATGCAGTCTCTTTTCTGAAAAGCATAGGATTCTCGTAGTGGCTTAGGTGGACCCCTAATGGTCCACAGAAGATTCAGCAGAGGTTTAAGTTAACGTGAAATGAAAATTGGTGTCCCAAGTTTGTTAGCGGGTTTCACGGAAATGCATGTCGTTTCACAGATAAGGAACGCAAATGTTTGTAGGTATGTTTTAAGAAGGCCAACGATTGTTCCTCGCAAAAACCTTTATTTTCGATACTTGGTACAAGTTTCTGAATTTGTTACACTCAGAACATCTGGATGAGGATACTCATCAGTTTGAAATTTAAATATCCTGCACGATGACTTCGAGACCAGATTTAACGATATTTCTACCATTATTGATCAACTACTCAAGTTTAGTACTAATAAGGAGCTGAAAATGAAATTTGAAAATTCGCAGCAGGCAGATATACACGAGAAATATTCTGAGCTCTTGGAAATTGCTAGAAAATTTTTGATAGAGTTTCCGTCCTCGTACTCAAAAAAGATTTTAGTGTTGTTACAAATCTTTTAACAAAAAAAAGGAGCAGATTGAATACTGCAAGCCAGCAAGCCCTTACAAAACTGAAGCCAAATATAGATAATTTGGTGCCAATCCATCAAATGCATCTTATGAGAAATTTCTTCTTCTCAACGTAAATCCTTAACGGGGCCCCTACAATCACGAGCACCATCTGCTGAGGTAACGGGGGGTGAAAAGGAAACGAGGGTAGGCTGGCCTTAGACGCTCGTCGGCGCTTCTTTAAAAGAGGAAAGGATGACTGCGGGAGCGTACGGAGGTAAGTTTTTGTAATAACAGAGACGGATTTCGATTAGCGATCTAGCTTGTAAATCGTTTCCTATTTTGGTACTCAGCAAGTGATCATTTAGTATTGTTCTACCCTTGTTACTGTTCGTCGATATTGTGTTGTAGAATTGTTGTGCTGTACTCTTGTTGGTTTGATTGTTCTCGAGTGCCTTTTTTATCAAGGTTGATAATGGACAATAAAAGGTCATATGCGACAATTTTAATTACGAATGCAGAGTTTCATTCATGATGAGGACAACAATAGTGTGGAGCAGTTCAACTGTATAATCGCAAAATACATTGGGGTAAGCGAATGAATTATTGCAAGAATAGGTCATACCATGGAAGATGTGCTGCAGCTGTAGTGAGCTACAACACCGAGCGGCCTGTCTAGGTGGTCCAAATAAATTTGCGTTCTAAGCTTAGTCCAACCTCGCATATCACTAAGATGGAAGAAAGACTCAAACGCAAGAATCTTAAAAAGAAACTCAGACCAAAAAAAGCTGATATAAAAATAACTAACAATTCGGATAGCAATTCCAAAGAAAATGAATAGTTTTATGGCGAATTCTGTCAAAAAAACTGACATGAACGACATTGATTTGGAGGTTGCTAAACAAGAATTTTTAGGGAAACTCAGAAAAAATGACGACGAGATTTTGCAGATCGAACAAGTCACCAAATCACAGGACTGTACTTTGTGGCGTCTTCATCGGAGGATGAGGTTAACAGCGTCTCGATTTGGTGAAGTTTGTATAAGAAGGCAGGCAGCAAACTGTAAAGTTCTAGTAAACACCATCATATACCCAACAGAGTTTTCTAGTAAGGCAATAAAAAAAGGCAATACAAAAATCATGGGATACGGCAGTTCAATCTTGTGGTTTGTTTATTCATCGCACACATCCATTTCTCGCAGCACCACCTCCATCTACCTATTACAGAAGACAAGACATGTACTTAATACTGGTATAAGCCTACCTGTTTATTGCTTTGCAAAAACTACATAACTGTTTCCTCTTATTTTGACCGCATAAGATATTTTGAAGACACTCGTTCAATTGTTAGCATCTACCACATGACCCTTGTAAACATAATTGTGTTTATTTTCATGAATAAACGAATTTGAAATTAGGACAGATATAAAATTATGTGGATACATTTTTTCTTAGTCGGAACGCACCGTCGCGTCGCTTGAACTGGCAGGACGAAACAGTAGATGAATTTCGCCCAAAAACCGATTCGCACTTCACACCCCACGTTTCATTTTTATTATTTCCAAATGAAACTCTGCGATTTTACCCACTAGGATCTTTTTAAAATATCAAGAAGTTGAGCACAAATAGTAAGCATTTCAACCCACCATTATTCTTGCGCAAAGACAAAATTTTGTAAAAAGCTCTGATAGCACCCTAGGAAATTATGTCCTGCTTATATCCAGAAAAACATCACAAACTGCAGAACACAAATTGAAGGTAACGGCGAAATGAGTACATTTCACGGGTCATGAAATTCAAATGAAAATGCAGGTATAAGATCTACCAAATTATCATTCTTAAAAACATATTTCCTTGACATATGGATAATTTTAAAGCCCCACGCAAAATTCCCCTTTACTTGACTGGAGTGATATTCGAATTTATTCTCCCCTACTGTCGGTAGTTGCAGATCTGTTGGCTGTTGGTGTCAAACCTATAGAGAAGGTACCTATTTTTTCAAATCGTGAGCACATTATTCGTCGGATCTTCGTTAAATTTCCTGTAATTACTGGGATCAGCAGCTTCTTAATAATAGAACGTGTTTCACTGATTTCAACCCCCCCTTTTTAAGGAGTACCATTTTTTATGTCAATGATTAGGAACCCCTGAAACCTCAAAAACGGACTCTCGGCAATTGTTACTTCTTCTTTTTTGCCTATAGCACCGTTGCCACTGGACTAAAACTACAAACCTTTGGCATACTAGTAACCCCGTGTGGAAATTTCATAAAAATCCGAGCGGTAATTTCCAAGTTGATGACGTGTGATACAGTTTTTCGTGATGTAGATGTCATATGACTTAAAAAAACATAGCCAATGGCGTAGGAAGTGAAACGGCTTTAAAATCGAGGAGAATCAGCGATCGCTATTATGAGTACCTATTTGCAGAACGACCTATCTATATTATATGAAATAGGGCCACCAAATTATCTGAATACGTCCTTTCTTAGTCCGTACATTGCGCCGCAACGCTTGAGTTGGCAGCACGAAACAGTAGACAAAATTCGTCCAAAATACGTTTTGTAGAGGTTTGCGCGCTTCGAAATTGACGCTTTATTTTTCGACATTTTTGGATGAAATTTTCAGTGTGCTGAAAACAAAACCCCACAGGGTGCTATAGAGCCACTTTTTAATCTTTTTCACTAGGTTCTTTTTAAAAAATCCCGAAATAGAACAAAAAAAGTACGCACTTCAACCCATCATAAAACTTGTGCAAAAACAAAATTTCAAAAGGTGCTCCTGTAGTACCCTGGGCAATTATCTTCTCAACATACTGTATGAATTTCATTCTAAAATATTGAAACATAGAGTGTCAGTTTCGAAGCAGATGAACGCTTGTAAATGGCTTGAAACTCACTGCGTCGGAGCCGCCTTAAGAACTTCAAATATAATTACTTACCAACAGTCTCATTGATATCATTTCTTGCACTGTTCATATACATTGCTTAGGAGGAGTTACGTCTTACGTTATTAAGGTCAAGCTCATAATAAACAGGTTATAAGGAAATATGTTTTTTACCTCTACTACTGTGAAAGATTTCACCAATAGATCTAATCTTCTTACTTCTTGATGGGCGTTCGAAGTATGGCACAAATGTAAAAGGAGGGGAAGGGTTCTGAAACTAGAAATTTTTTAAAAGTGGTTTTTGAGAGAAAAACGTTTGGGAGCCACTGCTCCAAGGAACTCTGTCACAAGTAACTAATTTGTTGCATCGAATACTTCAGATTTCAGAAAAAGACGATCAACTGCTGGACGTTATGGCCGTAAAAAAGTATGTTGTATTAAATAATTTCTTAGGATTACTTTAAGTTACGTACATAGGTCAACTTGTGTCACGTATTCAATAGTCTAACTCAAAACAACATGCACAGCAAAACATTTGAAAATGTAAGATGTACGAGTAATTTTTAGATTTCCCTGACTTTTGAGGTCAATAAACCGGCATATCCTTCGAATCCACACACTGGAACAATACAGAAATCTTAACTCAGATGTTTGCCGCTGTACCCCAATATCTCCCGAGTACTTGTACAACGTGACTTTTTTATCTGACGCTCCATACCGAGCCACTGTTTCTAATAAAAACATTATTAAACTACGTGACTCCCGGCAGTTCTCATCCTCAATCTTCTCTCACGAACAGGCAAGCCGGTGTGAATGCGGGACTATTTTAGCATGGGGAAGTTTGCCGTACCTCATTTTTTAGAATTCATGACTTCTCTGCCGTCTATTTACCGTGGTAATAAAATATGACGGCACCCTGTATGCGAACATTCGGTGTGAAAGACCGATTTATGTGGAGAGGAAAAGGCGGCGACATCTGCCATCCCTGGGATATACACCGAACCTTTCATAGAACCTATACGAACTGTTATGGTACCCATTCACAAACAGTTCGCCTGCAGTTCTGGAACTGTACAACCTGAACTGAAGATTCAAACTTTCTCAGACCATACACTATTCAGTTATTTGAAACGACGCGGCCTGCAGTTTTGAGACTGACAGGTTCTGAACTGCAGGAAAACTGTGCCTTCTCCACTCACACAAACATTTTGTCAGTTCTGATCGGCCGAGAGAACAACAATGGTGTTAATTAAGATGTTAAGGAAAAAAACCTCGCAGCACTTCTTGTACTATTATTATTGCAAGAGCCAATAACAAGGGCAAAAAAACCTTTTTGAGTAAAAGATTGGTTGTTGCAACGTGATACATTATCTCATATGACATTAATGCGAAAGTTGAGAACCAGTGCCACAAATGACCTTAATAACTATCTCAGAATGGATGATATGTGCTTTAATGAACTTTTATCGATGGTGAAGCCATTCATATCAAAGAAAAATACAAAGATGAGGAAATCAATCACAGCCGAGGAACGATTGATAGTTACCCTTCGATATTTGGCCACAGGACGAAGTTTGGAGGGTTTAAAATTCTCTGCAGTTATTTCACCTCAAGCTCTTGGAAGAATAATACCAGACACTTGTCAATGCATTTATAAGGCCTTAAAGAAAAAATATTTGAAGGTAAGTTAAAATCATCAAGTACATATAAAAAAAACTCACTGCTTTATTATTTTTAATAAAATTTAAAATTATATAACCCTTGAATGATCTTTTTAGGTTATTTTAAAATTAACAATTCTCATAATTCTCGATTAACATCACATCGTCGAGGCACCTGACTATCATCGTTATTGATTAATGCTGCGGAATTAGAAGGCCCTTCTAAATTGTGTTGAACTATGTGGATTGCCTGATTTTGACTCAGGCTAGTGTTTTGTCCATAGTTAGTATTGACATTTGCTTGATTTTGATCGAAACTTGTATTTTGTGTATAATTAGTATAGACATTCGGATTGTAAATTTGAAGTGTGGGATGATTGAAAAGTATTTATATTAAGGAAAACATCACTATGATAATCTAATTTCTTTTGAATTCAAAAAAAAAAATTTTATTTATTAAATATTCCGTATATGTTCCCTGGTTTTCATCCATCCTACGTAATTTGCAAGCTACATTATTTCTAACTATATCAAATTTCTGAACATAGGGTTTTGCATGCTTTTTCCATTAGGTCTTCTCTTGATCTCTTTGGGTTTGTTCGATTAGTAGTAATTGTTCGATTCCTACTTGGAGTTCGAAATTATAATTCAGCTGTTCTGCTTGCAGTTCGAGATGAGGACTCAATTGATGGTGTAACCTGATTTTCGAGCAATAAAGAACTGGTATCTTCCATATCAGTATTATAAACAATATGTTTTGCACCATTTTCATCCTGAAGTAAAATATTGTTTTAAAAAAATTGTGGCCTACATACGTATTATTTATTTTCAGTTTCCTGGTACAGTTGAAGAATGGCAGAAAATTGCACGAGATTATAACAGTAGATGGAATTTTCCTAATTGTGGAGGCGCCATCGATGGTAAACATATCAAAATAGTCAAGCCCGTCAACAGTGGATCGTACTACTTTAATTATAAAGAATATTTCAGTACTGTGTTAATGGCTATCGTGGATGCGAATTACGAATTTATTTATGTAAATGTTGGATGCAATGAAAGAATATCGGATGGAGGGGTCATTGAAACCACAAAATTCTCTGACAAGTTCTTGGAAAAAGCACTTAAATTGCCCTCCAATGAGACAACTATTAACAAAATGAATTTTTTTTTGTAGCAGATGAAACGAAAATATTTTGAAACCATTTCCAGATAGAAGTAAAGAACAAAGAATATTCAATTATCGCCTTAGTCGAGCTCGTCGCACAGTAGAAAATGCTTTTGGAATTATATCCAATAGATTCAGAGTGTTCCATACAGCAATCCATATGAAGCCAGAAAAAGTTGACAAAATCGTATTAGCGGCAGTGGTGTTGCACAACTTTCTGATACGACATACAAACAATTATACGTACATTCCTAAAAATTACGTTGATTTCGAAGTCTTAGATACTGGTGACGTACTAAAAGGCGATTGGCGCAATGGAATGATGCTCGATGGTTTGCAGTCCATTCTAAATCGACATTCATCCCATGAAGCTAAAGAAAACCGAGAGATGTATAAAAATTATTTTTCAGGTTTCGGAACAGTTCCCTGGCAAGAAAATTTCTCATAAAATTAATTGTATGTAAAAATAAACTGATATGTTGCTCGTGCGTTTAAACTGTTTTTTTCTTCCTCTTATTATACCTATGAGAAATGCCAATATCCGTTTGTAAATATCCTGAAAAAAACAGTCTATGGGTAGGGCACTTTGATAAGAAAAATTTAAGTACGTGTATAGGATGTGCCATTTAAAATAACAATAATTGCAATTTACCAAAACAGGTCACCCTGTATAAGTGAAAATATATAAAGCTGAAAATAAGTATCTAATATAAAAAAACTGGTCTGAAGCATTGTCTTATTGATTTTTTTTCTGAAATAAGGTGTTTTATAATAATTTTATATGGGCCACCCTATAAGGCTTAAATTTAGCAAACTTGCCTCAATTTGATTTTCTTCGTCACTTTCAATATCGTTTGATAATGATACTCGAGGTTCCTCTTGGTCCGCCGTGAACATCAACAGCTCAAAATACCACAACGTAGCTACATAAATGTTATCGGAAGATTTACCGGATCGCTTAGATTTACGCACTTTTTTCAGTTCTTTACGAAAAGCACATCTTAAATTATTAATTTTTTTTTAACAGTATCAACGGTTGCACTGCTGTCGACACTTTTATATAAGTCTAGTAATTTTTCGTAAGCTTTATTTTTTTGGCGTCTGTCTGAATATGATTTACTTTTTATTTTCCACAAACAAGGTAATTGTCTGTATAAATTAATCAGTTCACTCAAAAACGTAGTACTGTTGCTCGATTCTTTAACTGCAAAATGATGAATCTTCCAACATGTTTGAAGTTCCCAACCGCAGATTCGAATTGTCGTCTTTACCCCACACACATCAGTCGATCGTGGGATTCAATGGTAGAGAACCCTTTGAAAATATAGAATACCTAGCGCCACCTTTGGGCTTTCCTCTTACACTGTAGAGCTAAATTTGAGTTAAATATTCAAATTATATAAGAGCCCCTTCCCACTTCAGTTGGCCCACTTCAAGATTTGTACCAAAATATGCCTTTATAAACTAAACATGACGAAACTATTTACTTCTAAAACAATTTATTTTCTCAACAACATTTTAGATACACTCTAGTCGTAAAAACTACATATTTGAAATCACTTAGACCTATAACTATTAGAACATCTGAAGAAATAAACAATGTGCGAGTAAATGCGCGAAATTAACAAAGCAACAATTGAAAGATTACCATTGGGTAACATTACCTTTATTTTTTATTACGGCTGAAATTCTTTGGAGCATAGTTTTAACCAAGTTTTGGCAAAAATTTGTTGTAAAACAATCCCATATTTCTTGAAGCTTTTGTCCCAGTTCGGTGATTGTACGAGCAGGATGTTGTCGTAGAACCTTTTTCATCTCGTGCCACAAAGTGTCGATAGGTGACAGATCTGGACTGCTAGAAACCCATTTCAAAAGTGGTACAATATTTTCATCCATCCCTCTTATTGGCTTTTTTTGAGGTATGGCACGTTGCACCATCTTGCTGAAACACAAAATCTTGCCCGGATGTCAAACATTCTTCCATCTCCGGTAAAAGCGATTCTTCTAAAATTGCCAAATATTTGTTTGAATCCACATTTCCATCAATAAAATGAAGTTTTCCTACTCCTTTTGATGACATACTTCCCCAGACCATGAAGGATGCTGTTACAAATGAAATAGTCAACTGATATTGTTACGGTAAATTATATGAATCCGCTACACATGCATCAATTCCATCATGCAGAATTTCCACCTAATAAATTTACAATTTTGAAAAATAAACATTTAGAAAAAGCTCCGTATATTTATCCGACTGTTATGAAGTGGAAAGTTCGCTTGATACAGCCAACATTTTGAGTCATACTAGTGAATGGAAAATATAAGTACTTAAAATTTGTCGCACGTCAGATCTTTGGCACTAGGCCTAACTTTTAGATTTTTGTAGAAATGCTACGCAGTCTGGAAATCCTAGAAAGCGTACATTGCATAGCTAGTTTGAGAAGTGGGCGAGCATGTTTATAACCTGAAGCTCAAACGGGGTAGGTATATCGCGAAATATTCTGTCTTGCGATAATGACGTTTCCAGTTCGTTTTACAAAGACTTCAAGATATGTAGTTGCCTGCTGTTAACTCACAATCTCCGACGGGTGGTTTACAGGTTCTTGGACCATTAAGTAATGGCTAAAATAGACAGAATTCCTTATATCTCGTTTATAAGTAAACAATAAATTCGTTAGATTAATCGTCATTTGTTTGACTTGGCGCTCCCTATGACCTTTGCCCATTAGTTACTGTCTAACTTAGTCGAATCTATCAGTCCAGGTTGTCCAGAAACCAGACAATGTCATGGACAAAGAGAAAGAGAAGGAAAAAGCAGGAGAACAAAGAAAAAACAGAGGTGCATCAGTTAAGAGGAAACATCTAGATTTTTTGACTTGGTACACGGATTAACTAAAATCAAATTTGGATTCAGGTTTCGTTAGAGTGCAATTTTAGGTTTACTAAGTTAATCTTTGAAATCACAGTGCAAGCCGTGGCCTTGAATGTCTACTAGTTTGCTCTACTGTGCAGTTCACCGAGTTACGCAACAGAGGGTTGCTGTGCGATTCGCTGCGCGTAACGCTTGACATAATCTCTTAAGTACGAAATGTCAAGGTCTTTGGGATATACCATGGAGCGTTGCAAGTTGTTCGTAAAGTCCTGCTTTGTAGAACTTAAAGACTTTGCTTATATGACTTAGCAAAAAGAAACACTTTGTTTATCAAACTCAATTTGGAGGATCTACATAGCAAAGGATTTAGTTGCCGAAACGCAACTTAGAAATTTGTTCTCAACGCTGCTGTATGTTTCTACCACGCACCTGATTCTAATTGACTTTCGACCATTGAAATGGATCTTGCTAGCTCCCCGTCGTTGAATATTTGATTTGCTATTAGAATTTTGACACTGTCATGTCAATTTAAAAATCGCTAGAAATTATCTTAGCAAATTATATGTATGACCAGAAAGCGACATCGGAACTAATTTCAAGAGCCAAATTGATTTACAATCATTTCCTAGGTCATGTCTTTATCAAGGGTGAAACTCAGATACTTGGCAGGATTTTCCCACGGTATACGATTTCGTCTACCAACATCGCGGCTGGGGGCTTTTTTGGTACGATGAAATAGCCTGCGTTTTCGTATGATTAATTTTAATCAGCCGACATTCCACTCACTGTACAAGTACAGTGTCGTCAGCATAGAGGTAGACTTCACAGTTGCTGGCAAGACTCGTCCTGGATAAAAAGCGTGTAAAGGATTGGTTCTAGGACCGATCCCTGAGGAACACCGGCACGCACTGGCCGTGTTGTTGACAAAACATCGTTAGTTTTGATCTGAAACTTCCCTCATTCAAGAAACGATTTCAGTAGTTTTACAAGCCAAAAAGAAAAACCCTTTTGGATCAGTTTATAGAGGAGTCATTAACTATAGGTTGTAAAATTTTTTCGACGGTTAAGATATCTCCCTATGCAAATCACCCTGTATAAAAGAAATGCGTTTTGATTGTGGTAATGATTCCGTCTGACGTGTATGCCTGTCTCACGTTATAAATATCATAACGCAAACTTGACATTTGTTTTATTATAGAACCTTAGCCGTTCAACTTTAAAACTTGACCTCCAAAGCTTTCCCGTTCAATCTTATCTCCACGTCGGCGATGTTTATTTTTAAATATTTTTTAACGGACAAAGCGCGAAATACCGAAAATACCGCAATTCTAATATTACACTTCAGTCTTATTTTATATGCTCGAAAGACGTCACTGATCTTATTCACACCCGAGTTGCTAACGTAAGTACAAAAATTCCACAAGGGAGCAAATTTGACAAAGAATTTGTTGCTCAAAGAAATGCCCAAGAATAACGCTTATAACGGGTGATTTTTTAAGATGTATAGGATTTGATTTTCAAAAAAAACACAAAAAATTTGAAAAAACGATTAAATCCTTATTTGAGTCGATAGAATGGTCGATATAATTTAACGTTTAAAGATTATTTCATGTAAATGTTGGCCGCGGCTCCGCTTTAGATAGCCTATGCGCAAGGTCCAATTTTGGCACACTCTCTCCAACATATCGGCCGGTATCTCACGGATAAATGCTTCCATATTGGCTTCCAGTGCGTCAATCGTTGCTGGTCTATCCCTGTAGACATTAGCCTTAACATGGCCCCACAAGAAATAGTCCAACGGCGTTAAATCACACGATCTAGGCGGCCAATTAACGGGCCCCAAACGTGAGATAAACTGTTCACCGAACTCGCCTCTCAATAGGGCTATTGTTTCGTATGCGGTGTGGCATGCGGCACCGACTTGTTGAAACCACATGTCAGCCAAGTCCAGCTCTTCCATTTTGGGCAAACAAAAGTTTGTTATTATCGCACGGTAGCGCTCGCCATTCACAGTTACGTTCCGGCCATTGTCGTCTTTGAAGAAGTACATGATGCCACCGGCCCATAATACACACCAAACAGTGATTTTTTCGGGATGCATTGGTAGCTCTTGCAATGCTTCTGGCTGGTCTTCATTCCAGGTGCCGCAATTTTGCTAGTTAACGTACCCATTCAACCAGAAATGTTGCTGAACACAATTTTTCGATAAAAATGTGGATCTTCCTCCAACTTTGCCAGCGCCCATTCACCAAATTGGAAACGTTGTGGGAGGTCGCGTGGCTTCAATTCTTGCACCAGTTGTATCTTATAAGGTTTTACACCCAAATCCTGTCGCAAAATTTTCGACGTAGTGGAGTAACAGAGGCCCAATTGCTGCGAATGGCGGCGAATCGACATTTCACGGTCATCACTAACACTGGCGGATACAGCCGCAATATTTTCTTCAGTCCTCACTCTCCGTCTGTGTGTTGGTGGTTTAATGTCCAATAATGTAAACTGGGTTCGAAATTTAGTCTCAAGCTTCCGAATAGGTCCCTCAGTAGGCCGACCAAATTGCCCATAAATTGGAAGCAGACCTCGATGCACTCTCAACCGAGCATGAATTTTGATAGTAAAA